ATCTCTTCCTCATTTCCTGTACTTCAGGCACACACGGAGAGCTCTTTAAATGCTCAATTGCTCTCCTGCCTCTGGACTCTTCCAACTGCTGGTCTCGCTGCCAGAGCACTCTTCCTCATGAGAATCTGCCTTGCTTTCCTGCTTAAGTCTTGTTCATTGTCATATGTTCTTAAAGACCATGTTCTTTTCCTTGGTACACACATGTCAATTTGCTATATGTCCACTGATGTCATTGTCTTTCTCTCCATTGGTACCAAAGCTCCATGAGAAGGGGGCGGACTCTACTTGTGTTCATTATTGCATATCAGCTGATTTTATCCGATGTACAATAAAGGATCAACATGAGTACTGAATAAATAAAAGAATGAATGGATTCTGTTTCGCCAAGGCTTATATCTGTTTTACATTAGACCTTAACTCTCTGTAAAGAGACTTGTTTCTGTGGCAGCACTTTTTTTACCCACCTCACAGGCATTTGGAACCCACTATAGGGGTCAATGAGTGACTCAGTAACTCTGAGAGACTAGACATGTATCCATCTCCCCAAAGTCCTGGCCACTTCAAACACTGTTAGAAGTCCCACTACACAGTTCTAATCCAATTGATCTATGTGCTGTCTTTTAGACTTTGAATAACACTGTGGTCTTATCCAAAGGGAAGAGAAGGGTATTGATATTTATCAAGGGCCTACTTTCTTCCTGGAACACCATTTGGTGCTTTGCATACATTCAGTGGAAATAACTACCAGTGCATTAAAAATAGAATAATAATTGTAAGGTATTTTGGAAACATAAAGACCTCTGTAATATTAACTACATTAGAACATTTCTTAGAGGATTGAGTTTTTGAAATATTCAATTGCACCTGCATTGCTTAGTGAGCTAACTCACTCCTCTACAGATAACCTTTGTGAAAATAAAAATGATTTTTGGCAATGTCATTCCATGGAGAAAATCTGATAAACTTAAAGTGATTGCCCCAAACTTAAATTGTCCCCCAAAAGATCAGGTGTCCTTGTTATTGTTAAGCCAGTTTCTGCAATTACAAGATTGTGTAAGAAAGCAAAAGTTGTATTAGCTAATGTACTGAACATTTAACAATTAGTTTCCAGTAAAGTTCTCACCCCACCTACCTTGAATGTCTCTCTGTCCATTGCATCAACATATTTGGTGGTTGTTGCCTGTTGATACTTTAAGAGGTTGTGACTTTTATTTAAGTAAAATGCTAATTAACTGGAATGGCAAACTTTGAGGAAGATGAAGGATTTCCAAAAAAAGAAGAAAGTGACATTAGAGAACTCTTTAATCACATGTCAAACTACCACCAAATGAGTCTGGCAGAGTTAGAACAGTTAATGTCAGAAGAAGAGAAAATCCATGAGGGCTATGACATGATAGGTGCCTCAAAGAGACAGATCTGAGAATCAAAGAATTAAAGGGAGTGCTGGCAAAATTGATAAGGCTGTTTATGAGGCGCTTATGATCTTGTGACACAAAGGGCCATGTTTACATACAATTTTGAAGGGAAATTATGATATATTAATCAACACATAACTCATTATTGGTTTATTACATAATTCATATTTACTTAAAAAGTATTGACAAAATGAACTAATTTCCCTTATATTATTTTGAAAGAGAAATGCCCAAACATATTAACTTTGTTCACCATTTAGTATGACACCTAGACCTCCGTGTAGTAAATTTACTTTACATGTCTTTTTCCAGGTTTTATGTACCCTCACATAGTGAAGACTACATTGAAATCACTAGGTTTTATCTCTTCCTTTCAAATAAGTTAAGTAAGCTATTCCCCTGATTTTTTTGCCCAGCCTCAATCATCCATACTGGTCCTATATAATTAATTTTCAAGGTTAAAACTTGGATCATATCTTCTCTTTTCCTGCCTCATTCTTTGTATATGTTCATATTCATCCTGTGGAAAATATCTTTGACACAATAGAAATACTGAGGAAAAAGTTATCATTAATAGTTTCACACATTTCTTCTGCATGATGAATGACTGTGATCTGTAAGAGCTGAGAGTTATTATCGTTATCGTATCATTCTTGCATTGCTATAAAGAAATACCTGAGACTGGGTGACTTATAAAGAAAGCAGGTTTAATTGGCTCACAGTTCTGTGGGGTGTACAGGAAGCATAGAGCTGGCATGTGCTTCTAGGGAGGTTTCTGGAAGCTTACAGTCATGGCAGAAAGCAACGCGGGAGCTTGCACATCACATGGTGAGAGCGGGATCCACAGAGAGAGGGGAAGGTGCCATACACTTTCGCACAGCCAGATTTTGCAGGAACTCACTATCATGAGGACAGCACCAAGAGGATGGTGCTAAACCATTCATGAAAACCCAGCCCCACGATCCAATCACTTCCCACCAGGAGGTTTGGGTGGGGACATACATCCAAACTATATCAGTTGTGGTAACAACTTCTCTAGTTAGGATGTTCTCTGAATACTGAATCTCTTTCTTGGATAATTTTATAATGATCCCTGTGATGAAACTGCAGTTAATTTTCTATATTACTTGATTCTCTTGAAGTCACCACATAATTTTCACCTTTGCAAAGATAGAAATACTAACAGTGTAACAGAATGCCAGGTCGGATCGCCGATCAACTGATAGTTAACACAAGTGAAGTCAATGTACCTTTTTAATTACTATTTTGAAACACTGTTGATTCATTTATCTAAAAAGTTGAAGTAAAAATTAAAAATATTCAGGATATATTAAATCCATGAGTAGGCAATGAACACATTATATGGGGCCAAGATTTTGCTTAGAGAAAAATGACTTCCATGAGTCCTTAATTTATTTTTATCTGAGTTTTATTTTTGGTTTGAATTACCCAGATAAATTCTTTAATTTATTTGTCTATGTAAATTAAGTGGAAGAATTATGTACTCAAGTGAAAATAAATGGGTAAGTCTATTCCTATATGCAGTCTACCAAAAGTAATTTACTGAATTCTTTTTATGTTCTTAATTCAAAATTATAGGCTTGTAGGACAAAAAGAAATAAGGTACGTTATGTAACTTACATTAACACTGAAGTATAAAGGAAGGAAATAATTATCTTAGTATCTTTGGAAGCAGTATTAAATATTTTAAAGTTCCTATTATATTATTTAATTCATTTTAATATCTGAGAAAAATACACCAAAGTATAAAACGTACAAACTGAAAAAGACATTCTCATACATTAATACCTTTAGTATACACTGATATCTTACATACACACATATTTAAAATGTGTATGTAATATTATGCTTAATGAATAATTTAGGAAAATATCCAACAAAACTTTAGCATTCTATCTTATTATATATTTATTTTAAAACAGCTTATTTTACTTTAATGCACTAATCATTTCAAAGAAACTACTTACAACTTATTATATACAGTTTATCATTAAAGTCAAATTAAATATGAATAGACCATAATTTTTATGAGCTTCCACTTGTCACAAGAAAATCATTTTTTTCTGTTGTTTTAAAGAAAATGATTGATTGATAGAGTGATTGATTTAATAATGGATATAGACAGACCTAATTTACTGCACTTTACTGTGCTCTGCAGATACTGTGTTGTAAATTGAAGGTTTGTGGAAATTGTGCATCCAGTAATCTTAGTGACACCATTTTTCCAAACAGCACGTGTTCCCTTAATGTCTCTGTATCACATTTTGAAAATTCTTGCAATATTTAAAAATTTGTCATTACCAGTATTGCAGCTATTATGGTGATCTGTTTAGTGATCTTCGATGTTACTATTGTAATTATTTTGGGGCAACATGCACCACGGCAATACAAGAAGGCGAACTTAATCGACAAATGGTGGTCTGACTGCTCCAGTGACTGGAAGTTACCCCTTCTCTCTTCCTCTCCTTGGGTCTCTCTATTCCTTAAGACAAAATGAGATTGATATCAGGCCAATTAATGACTCTAAAATGGCCTGTAGGTCTTCACATGAAAGGAAAATCACACATATCTCACCTTACATCTAAAACTGGGTATGATGAAGTGAGGAAGAGATATTGAAAGCTGAGACAGGCCAAAAGCTAGGCCTCCTGCATCAAGCAATTAGCCACATTGTGAATGCAAAGGGAAAAGTACTTGAAGGAAATTAAAAGTGTTAATCCAGGGAATACACAAATGATAAGAAAAAGAAACAGCCTAATTGCTGATATGGAGAAAGTCTGAGTGTTCTGAACACACAATCAAGCCAACCACAACATTCTCTTTAGGTAAAGCCTAATGCAGAGCAAGGCCCTCACTCTCTTCAATTCTATGAAGGTTGGAAGAAGTGAGAAAGCTGCAGAAGAAATGTTTGAAGCTAGAAGAGGTTGGTTCATGGGGTTTAAGATAAGAAACTGTCTCCATATATAACAGTGCAAAGTGAAGCAGCAAATGCTGATGGAGAAGCTGCAGAAAATTATCCAGAATATTTAGCTAAGATTATTGATGAAGGTGGCTTCACTAAACAACAGATTTTCAATGTAAATGAAAAATCCTTACATTAGAACAAGATGCCATCTAGGACTTTCATAGCTAGAGAGGAGAAGTCAATGCCTGGCTGCAAAGCTTCAGAAGACAAGCTGACTCACTTTTTAAGTGCTAATGCAGCTGGTGACTTTAAGTGGAAGTTAATACTCATTTACTATTCCAAAAATCCTAAGACCCTTAAGGTTTATGATACATCTACTCTGCCTATGCTCTGTAAATGGAACAAAACCTGGATGATAGCACGTCTGTTTACAGCATGGTTTGCTGTTTATTTTAAGCCCACTGAGACCTGTTGCTTAGAAAAATATGTCTTGCAAAATGTTACTGCTCATTGACAATGGACCTGGTCACCCAAGAGCTCTGATGAAGTTGTACAAGAAAATTAATGTTGTTTTTATTCCTGCTTACATAACATTCTGTAGCCCAAAGATCAAGGAGTAATTTTGATTTTCAAGTCTTATGATTTAAAAAGTACATTTTGTGCTTGCTTACACAGCACGTTTACTAAAATTAGAATGATACAGAGAAGATTAGCATGGACCCAGCACAAGGATGACATGAATATTCTTGAAGCATTCCATGTTTTTGAAAATTAAAAAAAATTACAAGGGTATAGGTGCCATACATAGTGATACCTATGATGGATCTGGGCAAAATAAATTTAAAAATCTTCTGGAAATAATTCAGCATTCTAGATGCTATTATGAACATTCATGATTCATGAGGAGGCCGAAATATCAGCATTAATGAGAGTCTGGAAGAAGTTGATTTCAACTTTCATGGATGACATTGAGGGGTTCAAGGCTTCAGTGGCTAAAGTAATTGCAAATTTGATAGAAATGGTAAGAACTAGAATTAAAAATGGAGTCTGAAGATATGACTAAATTGCTGCAATCTCATTATAAAATTTGAATGAATGAGGAATTGCTTCTTATGGATGAGCAAATAAATTGGTTTTTTCAGATGGAATCTACTCCTGGTGAAGATGCTGTGGATATTGTCGAAATGACCACAAACAGTTTAGAATACTTAATTGATAAAGTATCCTAAATGCCTAAACTTAACTGATAAAGCAGTGACAGATTGTGAGGATTGATTCTAATTTTGAAAGTTCTACTATGGGCAAAATGCTATCAAACAGCATAGTATGCTACAAAGGAGTCTTTCATGAAAAGTAGAGCCAATCTGTAGAGCAAGCATTTTTGTTTTCTTATTTTAAGGAATTTGCACAACCACCCCAGTCTTCAGCAACAATCACCCTGATTAGTTATCAACCATCAATGTCAAGGCAAGACTCGCCACCAGCAAAAAGATCAGAACTCTCTGAAGGTTCAGATGATTATTACCACTTTTTAAATGTAGTTTTTAAAAATTAAGATATCTACATTGTGGTTTTAAACATAATACTATCGCACACTTTATATACTACGCTATAGAGTACACATAACTTTTGAATCCCCTGGAAAACAAAAAAAATTGTGTGCCTTACTTCATTATGGTATTTACTTTATTGTATTGTTCTAGAACCAAGCTTACTATATCGCTGGGGTATATCTCCTTTCCATCTTGTTTCTCTAGGAATTTGTGATAGTTAACAGAAAAGATATATGCAATAAAGCGGAAAAACGTAAGTTAGAACTCAGGGTTAAGAATACTAGAAATTATAATAAGAGGTCAATATGGTTAAAAGGAACACAGATATTCAGGTCATAAATTTCTACACTGTTGTTATAATTGAGCTTTGAATTTGTTTCTAGGACTTCTGGCAGCTGAAGTGAAATAAGGAGGTGAGAAATTATATAGACATTATTTTTTCTTATGGAAAAGTAAAGAAGGTATTTAGACATGGTTGACAGACATGTTTTTCTGTACCAGAAAATTTCAAGTGCTTCCTTCCAGTTTTGTTTCGGAGATTTATTATTATTTTAAGTAAATCCAATGCAGTCTTAAGTACAATCTGTTGCATATCATTTTATTCTTGGCTTAATTTCTAAATATTTGTGTGATTTGAGTAATTCACTTAAGTTTTCTTGACTTTGGTTTCTTCATCTGTAAAGGAAGGGGACGGGGCAAGATGACCTGCGCTCAAGTCCTTCGTAACTCTAATATCCCATATCCAGTGGGTTCCCATTTTCCCAGCATAGAGAATAGCACTTATTATTTAAAAAGCCAAGTTTGCCTTTTTATAAATTTGCCTATATTGTATAGGTGAGTCTCTTCTTAGGAGGAAATATTTTTATGTTAGGGGTCACCTGTCAATTATGTTGAATGCTCCGAAGAGTTAAATAAGAGAAGGACTGATCAGTTTGGTTCGTTTGCGAGAGATCACTCAAGAAATGAAAAGTTAATTTCAGAGTGGAATGAGTGTCAACTTCCTGGTGTACTGGGTATCTACTTCCTAGCATGCCTCTTTTCATCCTTTGATTTGTGGCCCCAGCTGTACCCACTGTGCAATTGGACCCACACACTGTTAATGTAAGGAAGGCAGGAACTGGGTCTTTCTTACTCCATTGAGAGTCTTGAAGGTGTCAGGAGAGAGTGTCTGCTCAATAAAGGTTGCCTGACAATTGACTTTTGAATCTTGTTCTTACTTCTGTTGACATGCTACCAAAAATCAGTGTTTTGTCAACCCTGTGTAGCACAGGTGCATCTAACATGAGGTTTAGCATCTAATGTCATTGTTTATCTTGAAAATTTTTGGAGTCAAAATAACCTTTGAAAATCTCTTAAGAGGCTTAGAAATTATGGTATGTTGGATTTTGTGAAAAAATCTTATAAAGCTGCGTGTGTGTACATCCTATATAAGAATGTATAATATATAATAAATGTGTAAGTTAAATACAAGTTTACTATATTTTTAATCACATGAGGATGAAAGAGAAATGAAAGAATAAAAAAAGGAAAACGATCATGTCACACTGTATTTGCAACAGTTAAAACCATATAAGATACAACATCATTCCATCCCTAAATAGCAGAAGCCTGTGTACTGTGAAATGGGCAATGTGTGAATTGATAACAAGATAAGTATGATTCCCAGTTCACACTCCATGTCCCCAGGAGGAGAAGCCTGCAGGCCATGGTCTTTATTGTGATTATCTGGAGCTGGTCCACCGGACATACCTCCTGACTACTTGCACAACTGCTCAGGGTGAGACTCATTTCTCCCTTTTTCCAACTTCATTCTCATATCAATACGTCCAGTTATATGTTGTTAGATAGTGATAAGGGTTTTTGGAGGTCTAGAGCAAAAACAGAGTTCTGTGAGATCCTCTGGAAATCTTCACAAGCCAATGCAAAGTTGATCACCTACCATTTCAACCCTGAGGGTAACCGGATCGGGCAGGATGGGCTAGGTTATACTGCAATATCACACAATTCCAGAACCCCAGGGGATTAAGACCACAAAGGCTTATTCATATTTCTTACTCACGCTACGTGTCCATCAGGGACTAGTTTGGGGCTCTGCTCCAATTCAACCTCATTCTGAAACTCAGGCTGTTGGAACAGTCACAATCTGAAATCTGTTAGTCACCGTGGCAGAAAGTAAGCGAAATACGGCATGTCACACATGAGATCTTTAACACTTACACTGGAAGAGACACGTACCCCTTCTGTGCACTTTGCATTGGTCAAATCATATTATGTCACTATGTTTCATACCAAGGAGAAGAGCCAGTACAATCCTGCCCTATGCTTAAGAGTACAGTTGGAAAACTTGCTGAATACCATTAATGACCACTGCAATAAACATGTGACAAACAGTGAATTTGGTAGGGTTTCCAGGTCCATCCTGATCTGCCCGGTTTTATGTTCTCGAATAACCTTTAGTTCTTTCAGCTCAGGCACACTGAATGACTCACATATCTCAGAGGAGGAACAAATAATCTTGTCCCTCTTCCCTTTTATTTAATAAAGAAAGAAGGACACAAGGAGAAAGAAATAAGATGGAAATTAATCCTCGTAGAATTTCATGTGTCATTTGATGGCCAGGATGATCAGTTTTTAGTTCAATTAATGCCTGTGGTAGACTGAATAATGAACTCCCTCAACGATGTCCATATCTTAATTTCTGAAACTTGTAGTATATATGACATTGTATGACAAAGAAAAATCAAGGTTCAAGATGGAATTAAGTTTAATAGCCAGCTGATCTTAATATAGAAAGATTATGCTGGATTATCTAGGTGATCCAAAGTAATCACAAGATTTATTAAAAGTGAAGGAGGGAGGCAGAAGAGGAGGCCAGAAGTCAGATGGTGTGACTGGAGAAAAGGACTCAACCATCTATTGCTAGCTTTGTAGATGGAGAAAGCTGGTTATGAGGCAAACCATATAAGCAGCCTCCAGAAGCTGGAAAAGGCAATGAGACCATTTCTCTTGTGAAACCTCCAGAAAGGAATGCAGCCCTGGCCACACCTTGACTTTATCCCAGTGAGATCCATGTCAGACTTCTGACCTACAGAACTGTGAGATGATAAATGTATTGTTTTAAGCCACTCATTTTCTGACAATTTTTAAAAGCAGCTATTGAAAAGCAATACGATACCTTTATGTTTTTTGAACTAACTTGTACTTCTAAAACCATGGCTACTCTAACAGGTTCAGACACTATTTCAATAATTTGGCTCTGTAATATGTAGTTAAAAGGAATAAAAGAAAGCACATTGGTCTGCATGTTATTGTTGTTGTTTTTGGAGAAAAACTCTGTTAAACCATGTGGCAGAATGTGTCACCTCTTTTTTTTTTTTTTTTTGAGACGGAGTCTCGCTCTGTCGCCCAGGCTGGAGTGCAGTGGCCGGATCTGAGCTCACTGCAAGCTCCGCCTCCCGGGTTTACGCCATTCTCCTGCCTCAGCCTCCCGAGTAGCTGGGACTACAGGCACCCGCCACCACACGCGGTAGTTTTTTGTATTTTTTTTTTTTTTTTTTTAGTAGAGATGGGGTTTCACCGTGTTAGCCAGGATGGCTAACCTGACCTCATGATCCGCCCATCTCGGCCTCCCAAAGTGCTGGGATTACAGGCTTGAGCCACTGCGCCCAGCCACCTCTTCTATCGCAAGCAGAAATGTGGCTTGGTGTGCAGGTAGAGGCTTTAGTATCTGAATTCTTATCTATATTGGGAACAGATACAAACCTTCTAATTCACATGCTAAACTTTGTTGGCTGTCACTCCCTATGTTTCCATTGCTTCCTGTGGCGTGTCAAAGCCTCTTATAGCATCCACCCATCTTTGTAGCTGCTTTTGATTCAGAGACCATATTTTGAGAAAGACTGAATCAAAAGACGTTCAGAAAGAAAGTGATATCTTGAGATTATATAGTAAAATCATCACAGGCATCTCATATGCTTCAATGACGTTCTTAGAATATGGGGTGAAAAATGCCTGAAATAAACAAAGCTCTGTGGCATGAGAAGGTCTTGCAGGACTCCAGCGTGGAAATGGACTGGCATTAGAAAACTGAGAGGGACAGTGATGGAGTTAACATTACACTTTGAGTTTGAAATCCTAGAGATCAAGTTCTGGCTCTGCCACTCACTACATGAGTAACCTTCGACAAGTCGTTTAACATTTCTCAGTCTTGGTT